GAGAATATAATGAAAATTGAAACTGTTTTTCCCGCAAACAATCTCCGCGCCACATGATGGATGGAATTATGCTGAAAAATTTAATGGCAAAGCCCATTATTCTACTTAATTAATTGGCGCTGCATTGTGTGTGTGCGATTCCGGCATTTGTTCAAAACTGCAAAAGCGCGCGATAATTGAAAATTACTGATTCACGCAGCAGCACGAAATTTATTTTTCTTCCACAAATAGCTGTGGCATTTGCCCCAACAAATAAATCCACACCGTGTGATTTTGCGGCAATTTGAATATTTTTATCCATTTCTGCGCTTGCAATCCCCCCAGAAATTGAGCCGCGCATTAAAATTTAAATGAGAGAAAAAGACCCATTTTCACATTACACACTTTTTTCATCCATCCCTCCAAACCAAATCCCAAGGGGCAAATCACAAGGCGATTTTTGAGGAAACTTAATGTTCTCTAATCAAATAATTAATTTTTTGAGTAAAATAATCAAAAAATGATTATTTTCCCAAGTAAAATTGAAAAATAATCAAATTATGATTTCAATAATAAAAAAAAGATTATTTTCTCAACTAAAATTGAAAAAAAAAATCTAATTTTGAATACATAATCAAAGAAAAGATTATTTTCCCTAGTAAAATCACAAAAAAAACAAAATAACCAAATTCTGAATAAAATAATCAAAAAATGAATATTTTTTCAAACAAAAATTGAAAAATTTTTGGAAAAAAATTACAAAAAAATCAAAATAACCAAATTATGAATTAAATAATCAGAAACAAATGAATATATTCTCAAGTAAATTTTGAAAAATAATCATATTTTGAATAAAATATCCCAAAAAAAAACAAATCCCAAGTAAAATTACATAAAAATCTCAATAATGAAATTCTGAAATAAATTATGAATAAAAATAAATTATTTTCAATCAATTAATCAGAATATTTCGAATATTTACCATTATTCAAGTATATTCAAAATTTGATTAAATATTCCGGAAAATAATAAAAAAAATCAGAATTTGTATGAAATACAGAATTTTTAATCAAAAAATATTCAAAAAAATAATCAATTTTAAATCAAATATTTAGAAAATTATCAGAATTTTCTACGAAATAATCAAAATTTGAGTAATAATCACAAATAATCGAAAAAAGGATTGAATAATCACAAAGTTAATGGTCTCAACTTCCGAGTGATTTTCCCCTTGCCAAATCCATTCTCAGCATCACTCTGTGAATAATTCAGCAGTGCAAAATCATATACATTGCACACTCACATCGCTGTAAAAAAAAGGGATGCGAATAAATGGTAGGAAAATTGTTGTCTAAAGAGCGAGCGAGTTTTTAAAATTGCTCAACATATTACAATCTCGGCCTCTGGCCGCCAGATTCGCCGGCCAGGTGGTCAACAGAAAAACATTTTGCCTATTATTTATGGCGGAGCGAATGAGAAGGGCTGCATTTTAATGCATTTTGCATGTATTTCGTGGACCGCCAGGGAAAAAAAGTCCCTTAATTGATGAAATTTTCATTCTGTATAGTCATTTCATGAATAATTTTCAAACTTGAATTTCCATCAGATTTAATATTGTGCAGAGCCGATGTTTTGTGTGTGTGTGCATTGAAATATGACACACATGTATAATTTTGCTGCGTGAAAAACTACACGCGCGGGTGGCCTTTTTTGACCATGGCGGAAATGTTTTCCACCCACTCAATTGAATTGCCTCGTCATCATCATCATCAATTGTTCTCAAATTACCATTTCATAACAACACACACACCAAACGTGTATAAATGATGCGCCACGAATCACATTTCCATTTGACTTTCATACAAGATTAATGTCTTATCGCAGATAAATTGAATTGCTGATTTCTTCACAGACCCATTTTGACCCAAAATTTGCCAAAATATGAAGACAAACAGCAATCAAGAAGGAAACCTAATCGAGAACCGAGTAAAATTTAATGGGAAATGGTTTAAATTTAAATCGAAGTGCAATTGAGATGAATTGGTGGTAAAAAGCTCAAATTATCCCACAAAAATTGGTTAAAAAGGTGAAATTAGTGATTTGGCGCGACGATCAAAACCCACATTTTTAAACCACAATAGATGTCGCCACAGACAATGTGACTTTTCATCTTAAAAAGTCCATCAATTTGATCAATTCCGAGCACGTTAAATCATACAAAATCAGCAAGGAAATCACAAAACAGAAGAAAGTGGAATGAAAGAAAATCAGCAGAGAAAGATGGAAAACTCCCTGTCTGAATTGATACAGATTCGTATGATCAAAATTATGGTATCCAAAAGTGTTCAAACTTTCTTCCTTGCGCACTTTCTATAGCCACTCAAGGAGGAAAAGGTGAATCAACAAATGCCACAAACTATTTGTAAAGTCCCGAAGTGCCACTTAATTCCCAGGAAAATATTGTGTGGCAAAATGTGAGGGAAAAGTTTCTTTGTGCGGCCCAGAGTGAATAAATTTGAATACACTTCTCTTCCACGCCGCGCCAGAGAGAGAGAGAGATTCTGTCTTACCTCCACAACCGCTCCACAATCTCTTATCATGCAAATGCGCACTCTCAACTCTGGCCCCGGGATTTAATGCCGGCGTGGCTTTTTCTCTCGCCCACGAACTGCGGGAATTGTCATAAATCAAATTGGACAAAATCCACCATCGATACCTTGAGTGCAGTCTTATTGAGGGGCGGCGATTTAGCATATAGTTTTCGTGGGAGTGTGGGCGAAGGGAAATATATTCTGCAGCGTTTGCATTTCCACTCAACTTGCCCCACACCCTCCCCCACCGGAAAGTGTTTCCCCAGCGGAGTAAATTATCCGTAGAAGAAAACTCCCATATTGGGCCACTTGGCCGTGGATGATGGAGTGCGCCAGGCTCGCAGGTACAGAGAGACTAACAGCATATTAGAGAAATATTTATAGCCCGCCGATATCCATGCCTTGGCTGCACAAAGTGCCAATATTCCGAATCGATTTGCACAAAAAAGCCACACACACACACAGAGGAGGAGAATGAAATTTACATTTCGCGGTCGTTCTGCATGCCAGAGACCCGAAGGGCCACCATTTCACCCCTTCAGGACTCTCCTCCACCCCCAAACCACCCGCCGGAGAGCACATTTTATTATTTTGTTTCACTCCGCCTCGCCCATTTTCCTCGCTGCATATTTTACACTCTGCACGGCCCTTTGAAATTGTGTACAATTTGATTTTTTCGCAACAGAATCTGCAATTGAATCCATGCAAAGTAGCTTCTGGGCTCATTTTAATTCACCACCGTGATTTGGCGCGTGAATTTTTGATGTTGACTTCAAGGGACAAATATTATGATCGGAAGTGGTGTACAGCTTTTGTGCAAGTGTTTGGAATTGGAAGTGATAAAATATATTTTAAAAATTGAAAGAGCTTCTGCTTCAACAAATTGAGGCTCTTCTTAATTAATATGGCTTAAAAAATTACTTTGATTGCTTTTTTAGGTTATGTGAGTGATTTTAAATAGATTCTGGTGATTAAATAACCCTAAAAAATCATCAAAATGGTGTTTATGCTGCTAATATTTCTCATTTTTAACAGATTTGAGAATTTTTGATTACAAAACTTCATATTGATTGAGAAAAAGCCTAATAGACAATCACATAACCTAAAAAAAAAATTTATTTCAGTCTAGAAGAATGTTTAAACTTTAAAGTGACAAATTCTACCTCAATTTCTGGAAGAGACATTCAGAGATTCACTCATTTCCAGGTTTGAAAACATCTAAATTAATCCAAGGAATTTTTTAAGCCAAATTCATAACCTCACAATTTGATTTTAATTGTTCAAAGCATTTTCTGAAGGCAAAACTTAGAATAAAGTGCAATAAGTCAAAATTGTGTGTGAGAAACAATTGAAGGAGTCTTAAAAACGATGAAAAATGCCTTTAAGGACGTTCAGAAGTGTCTGAAGTGGTGTACAGATTTGAGGCATATTATCTCTCCCTTGTTTAGCTTAAGGGCGCGTGCAAGTCTCTCAGGATTACTAAGATTGTTGCATATTTGGTCGTGTGATTCTGCAAGAGCTTTTAGTCACTCGGTCTTCCAGTGGTGTTTCTTTAAAGCTCTTCATTTCTTATTTAAATCAGTATAAATCTCTTAATATTCCAGAGAAGTATTTCTCATGCATCTTCCAGCTTCTAAAGTGCTTCAATGTTCATCTTTGTCCTTCTTTATCACACAAACTCTGTAATAAAATGCATTAAGTCAGCTAATCTTGTCCGAATTGAGGTAATAAAACACCCAACATTGCAATCCATACCTTTGATCTTGGCTGTAAGAATTCACTCTGTAAGACAAATAGAATCTATCAGTTTCACAAGAGCTTTGCAGCCAAATTCAGAGCATAACAGAAGCACTCTCAAGTACTGCATTCCGCAGTAACATAGCACATTCAATTGCGAGCATTGCAACATCGATAGAATCATGGTGGAAATGCACTAATTGCACAGCACATACGCTCGCTTTATGGCATTTTTCCCAACCCTTGGGATTTGGGTGTGGGTTTTTTTGCCGCCAACCTTGTGCGCCCAGAGGGTGGTGGAAATTCAGGGATTGTGGGTGGATTTTTTTCACTCACTCGCTGTCCAACGACAAGCTCAAGAAGCCAAAATGACTATGATCACAAGTCCATGAGCGACTTGAGCTTTGGCCGCACTAATAACTGGGCGTCGAGTGAGCGCATATTAAAATTCCCATCATAAATGTTAATGGTCGGTAATTGTGGGAAAATGAAACGGCCGGTTCTGCCCAACTCTGTGACGGGGAGGATTAAAACTCTATGGCTTAACGTTCGGCCAATTATGAAATAATTAATTTGGGCATATATAGTGGTCGGGCGATGAAAATGCCGGTGCGAGTATAAAGTCATTTATCTCCAATTACGGAACGCCAGTCGGGAAAGTGTGGCGCGGGAAAAACTACACACAAAACCATCATGAGCGTGAGCGCGGCGCGCTTTTTCCAAGTCGAGGGCGTGGTGCTGCGCTTCATCGGCATGTGGCCCATCAGTGAGCGCCACATGAACGCACGGGCGATCACGCACACCGCCATCAATCTGATTATCCTGGTCGCGGCCACAGTGGCGGAAATTGCATTTGGCATCGTTAATATTGATGACCTGCCGCTGGTGTGCGACAGCTTCTGTCCGTCCAGCACAAAAATGGTCACAGCCATGAAAGTTTTACTGCTCACGGCCCGCCGGCGCAGAGTACACAAGGTCCTGCAGACACTTCGACACCTCTATCTCGCCGGCATGTTTGGCATTGTTTTATGGACGCCGGATTTTCTAATTAACCCGCGCCCTGTTTGCTCTTCCACCCCTTTTCAAAAATACACAGAAACCGACGCCGAGAACATCGCCATAAACGCAAGACTTTCGCACTTCAGCCGCACCATAACGCTGATCCTGGCCACGCTCACCAGCGCCACGTGCTGCTCCTACGTGTTCATCCCCATCGGCAAGTATCTCTGGGCCAAGCACACCGGCGGAGAGACGCTCCGGGAGCTGCCCTTCAAGTCCGTGTGAGTTTAGCGCTTCTCAGCAGTGCCGTAGTCGCAATAAGATTCCGCTTTAACTCCGTTTTTTGGTCTTAATGCTCCAATTCTTCACTGAAATAAGTCCTCAAAGTAATGAATTTATTGACTGAAACAGTCTTTTAAAGACACTCATGAAGCTTTTATTTCAAACTTTCATTCAGTATTAGAAAAATTCACACTTTACGTAGAAAAACTGCGAATTAATTGCACTTTCTGGAAGAAATCTATTTAAAATCAAGAAAAGATGCAAAATCCTTATCAAATTTACACGTTTCTCAAGCTATAAAAATTGTGCATTAAGAAAAGCAACAGCTTTACGCGGCTTTTTAGATATTTTAGAGTCACTGCGCCTCTGCTGAACTCTGGGATTTCTTCGAAATTGTTAAAAATTAAATATGGCAGTCAAGTTGGAGTTTTGAAGATGCTTCTTTTCCGCCACGAGATTTTTCCCATCCATGAAACATTGGTTGGGATGCTGAGCGAAATGGATGGAGAAAAGTCATCAAAAACCACTTAAAATGAATAGCTTTGCACACACAAACACATTTTGCTCGTCCATTTCTTTGCAATCTGCGAGAGGACAATAAAAAAAAAGCGACGTGGAGGAAGAATTAACCGACCAGAGAGGCATTCCCTGTTGACACAGCACGTTGCAAAAGGGCGGGCAAACCCTAATCCTCTGGTCAAAATTCACCGGAGAAATGGAAATAAATGGTTGGGGGGTGGAAGAAGCCACCCCCGCACTCTCTCCCTCAAGTGCGCCCACAGAGAGGGCGAGAGAGAGAGAGAGCAGTGAGAGTGAGCGATGTAATTAACAAGAATGGCCATCAATGGAGAAAATGGGGAGAAGATGTGTTCCTCCGTGGGAGGCGAGAAAGAATGTTAATTTATTGTAATTTTATAGGTTTCCCTATGACGCCAGCCAGAGTCCTGTGTACGAAATAACCTACATAATACTCTCGTACTCCGGCTACATCACGGCCGCCGGCATCATTGGCATGGATGGACTCTTTGTCGGGCTGTGCCTCCACATTTCGGGGCAGTTTCAGATCATCCAGACGAATATTAACACTCTCGTTGATCGTGAGATTGGTGTGTTAAATTGCCTCAATTTCTGCACGCCCTCTGATTGTTCACATTAAATTGCCTGTACTCACCCCCAGCCGCCGGCCAGATTGGCCAGGCAGAATTAGGTTGTTCTTGTGCTCGAATGTATCGCTTCACTCTCACCCTTGCATTTGCAGCTCCTCTGCTGACCAAGCGTCCCTCGCAGGACGATTCTGCGTTCACGGAGGAGCAGAGCCGACACATCTATCACCGCCTGAGCGCCTTTGTGCGCCGCCAGGACGACACAATCAAGCTGTGCGAGGAAATGGTGAAGATCTTTCAGCCGAACATCCTCATGCACTTCCTCTCCGCCGCCTTCGTCATCTGCTTCAGCTCTGTCAACTTAATCCTGGTAAAGATCTGCAAATGTGAGAAATGCACAATTATATTTCCAATCTCTCCTCGCCAGTCGTCCGGCTTAGCAATATTCCTCTATGTCAACTACATCGGAGCGGCCACAACACAGCTCTTTGTGTACTCCATTGGCGGAAGCTATATATCAACTTCTGTGAGTTGTTTTTTGCCACACTTCCTCTTCTCTCTCTCTCTTCTGTGCCCCATTTCTGGCGCCCATTTCGCCAGCGAGGCCACAAAAAACCCCACAGACAATCCCAAATCCAGCACAGCTCAAGTGAAGCCGGAGTTTTGGGGACAAATTCAGTGTTAGACAGAGTTTCACATCACTCTTTTTGCCCTTAATGAGCACAAGATTGCTGAAAATAAACAGTTTTTGCATTTATTATTGGAAAAAGTAACGAATATGTGAAAAAAATTGCGAAAAAATCTAAATTTTATTCAAATAAAACTCTACACAAGATCTTTCCAAGCAATTAGAGCGAATTTAAGTGCTTGATATGAAGGATTCAGAAGCACTTAATCGTGTTTCTTTCACGAGTTGCAATAAATTCACACTCTTCCATACTTAATTTTGAGATTTTGCCGCAAATTCAGTCGCCTGAGCAATGGCCAAAGCAAAGTTTTGCCTCTCGGAGCGAAGCGGCAGAGAAGGAAAGCTTAACAGAGCCAATATTCATCATCACAGTGGTTGCAAATGAATATTAGGGATCATTAGACTCTGTGTCTGATATCCTTTTCTCCCCCATTCTCTGCTCCTTCTCTGTCACACTGGATGCAAAATACATAATAACAATATCCGAAAAAAAAATTAGAGCGGCGAGATCTGCAACTCAGCATACTTCTTCGAGTGGTACAAATCCAATAAGGACGTCCGTCGTCTGCTGCTAATGCTAATGACGAGGGCGCAGCGGGAGAGCGGAGTGTTCGTGCCATTCTTCCAGGCGAGCCTGGAAACATTCGCGACGGTGCGTATCGCACACACACACAATTCCGCACAAGCATCTGCAATTGCCACCCAATTTCTCTTTGCAGATCCTACGAACCGCCGGCTCCTACATCGCCCTCCTCAAGACGTTCCTCTAGAGACGAGAGACATCGCGCCGCAAGAGGCCCGATTTTTACAACATCGACCGGCAAAGATGTGGTAATGATGATGATGGCGAATGGGATTTCCCTCGCAATGCCATAAAATTAAAATGATGAAGAGGAAAAGCAGCTGAAGAGCGCCATAACCGTAATATCATCCACTTTGCTGCACAAGGCGCACGCTAGACGGATATTTTTTTGTCTGTTTTCCACCAAGTGGACTACAATAGGGAGTAAATTGCTGCTGAAATTAATAAATTCATTGCAATCTCTTCGCAGAGCACAATTGATGCTTTTTTTTCTTCACAATTCGGACACTGACTTACAAAATGCTCTAGATTAGCGATAAGATCATGTTATTTATGACATTTAGAAAGATTTATAGGGGTAAATGGGGCAGCTTCAGATTTCTTAATTTTCTCAGAGATTTTTACATGAATAAATTCCTGGTCTTCACACAATGTTTGTAGTCCTTAAGGACTACAATTGACGAAAATTTGCACAGGATAGCCTTTACTGTTTAGATAAAATAAGTGAAAATTGAAAATCACTCACAAACTAGAATTTTGCTGCCGAATTGATTGCGTGTTTTCTCCATTAAAAAAGCCACAATTCGCGTGAAACACAATCAAAGGTTATTGAGAGTTAAGTAGAGATTCTAAATATGCCCGAACTTTTCCTCCTGATCACGGCCTTTTCAGTGGGTGGTGGAAAATGCACAAACACTGCACACGGGGCAGTTTCGGATCGCCACAGACTGACAACAGCGCGCTCTGACAGTCTGACGCAACATTACGGTCGAAATTTTCTTGTGGCAAATATTGAAGATTTTTCACAAAGTGCCGTTCTGTGCTGCATTGCTTCATCACGTTAAACGACTTCTTAGTTGAAAAGTGAGAAAATACACGCGAAAATCACTGATTAGAGCAGAAATTTCGAGAAGCACATTTTGCGCGGAACTTTCGCAGCGCGTCAAGTTGCCACCACTCACGCATGGTGGCGTTGCGATACAGGAAAAATGACGGGCAACTTGCTTTTCGCTCAGAAATTTTGACAGTCCGTGCAAGGGTCCAGAAAAGTCGCGAAAATATTACTTTAAAGGCGATTTTTAGGGAATTAAACAGTTTCAGTGTGTAGATTAGAAACCAAAGTGATCATTTGCCCGCGATTCGACAATTCCACAATGGAATTTATGGTAAATATAAGTGAAAATCTGAAACATCCCCACAGCAATCCGAAACATCCCCGTGCGGTGCAGTTTCAGATAAATTACAATATTATTTTCATTCTCCTTTAGAGGAAAAAGGATCAGTTTTAATGCCCAATGAAAGGCATTTTCTGAAGCTCAATAGACGAGAGTTTATTTGAGCGTTGTGATAATTGCAATATATTCAGCCGATTTTTCAAGAAAAAATCCTAAAGTTGGAACAGCATTTTGAATCAGAAGCTGCCCCACTTACCCCTACATATTCCAAAAAGGAAAATTTAGAAAGTAAATACAAAAGTATCGCCATCTTTCTTTGTGTATTTTTAATCACTTCTGTGCACTGAACAATCAAACACTTTAATTTACAGTACAAACTAAATAGAAAATGAAAAAAAAACTCTGTCACAAACAATTAAAAGGTGCAATGAATGAATAAAACATTCTAATGGTTAGAAAATACATTTATTTCTCATTTGATTTTTTATTAAATCGATTAAATCCAGACAGTTGAGTTCCTCCATCTTTGTTGCTGTCTAGCGCCCTCTGTTGACTCTAAATTCAACCATCAAATCTCTAACCTCACTTTCTAGGTATTCAAACTCACTTAACTGCACCACAACTACACATTTTCTCATTTCTTCACGTAGATTTTGACATTTTTCCTTAAAATTGTAGACGAAAAATCAGAAAAATCAACTTAGAAGGATTTCCAAGAATATTTTACTTGCCTGACGTGCAGTGATGGGCGAATTTTTTACATTTTTACATTTACACAATTCTTTACATGGTAAAAAATATTTTCTTTACACACTTTATTTTTTACATGTAAAGAAAAAATGTAAAATACGAAAATTGGGTTCAATTTTTCGAATCGAATATTCGTTAATAACGGAAATTTACTTCAGGCGTTTTTCCATGAAGCCAAAATTATTAAGAGTTTTGTGAATTTTACTCTCGTTTAGGTAATTTAGACCAAAATGTGCAGACAGGTTTCTCGGTTTCATGGTTCTTAGGCAAAAATTTAATCTCGTGCAATCCTGGAAGTCCTCAAAAACCTCGAAAAGAATACAAAAATATACGTTCAATTAGCAAATTTTCTTGTAAAATTAGAGTAAAACTTCGATATTCCGTCAAACAAATTTTCCAACATTTTCCTGAGTTTTCACTGTTGTTTACAATTTTGTGACTTATCGCGTATGTGACAAAAAGTATTTTCTGCAATTCCACGGGAATTCCACGGGAATTTCACTAGTTTTTAAACTTCAGAAAAGAATTTTTACATTTTACTTGACATTTTACATTTTACTTTACATTTTACATTTTTTACACATTCTTTACATGTAAAATGTAAAGAGGTATTTTTTACCATGTAAAGGCACAACACTGCTGACGTGTCACAACTCAGCCATCAAGATTTTCCGCATTGATCTTTATCATGTAGTCAATTTTATATGACTAAAAAGCATCAATTAAATGTGATCTTCAATATGGCTTCAATTATCCTTTTGACATCCATTAAAAACGATTTTCAAATCACTCATTTAACAACGGATTTACGCATATTATAAAAGCATTAGTTTGCGGAAAAATTAATGACAATAATCAACATCAAATTTCCCTGATGCATTTATTAATGCAATTTGATGCAAATTTGACATATTTTAGGTGAGAATAATTTGAATATTCATCGCGTGTGTTAGGAAAGCTCTTCGGGAGGAAATTTTATGGATTTCCCGGTAAACAGATATGAAATTTATATTCGACGGGTGAATGGAAAACTATGAAAAGTCGATTTATCACAGTTTTCGTCGTAAGTATTTTTGAAAAGCTTTTAATTTGTTCTTTCTGTACAAAAAATTTAAGAGTTTGTATCTTATGAGACGATAGTAAAAAAAAATAGAAAAAATTGTCATATTTTCTGAATGAAAAGTTGAATTTTCATTATTTACGCCGTACAATTTTACTAAGAAAAATGTCTTAAAAATTGCAGTCAAACGCATAGAATGCCATTTAAGAAAATATTTTTAAATTTTCAGAATTATCCTAAAATGTTTTTTTATACTTTCAATGAATATTTCTCAAATTTTTTATATTTTTTCACTTGAAAACTTTGAAGAAAAGTTCAAGTGAAGTATGAAAAAATGATTTTTAGAACTTGTTTGGTTAAAATCAACTACAAGACTATTAAAAATCGACTTTGGAAAATTAATATTTTCAATCAATTTTGCCATATTTCAGACAAAAATTTCAGTAAATCGCAATAAAAGCAACTAAAATACTTACAAAACAATAAATACAGAGCAATAATGACACTTTAACGGACGTTTTGAGGATTTTGAAGTAAATTTGGCAAATTTCTCAGCTGTATTAACACTAAATTTTGAATTCGCTCTGCTGAAAAATTGCTATTTTGCCTTTTTCATACTTTTCGATTCACCCGTCGATATATTTATCTATGAAGTGGAGCAACTCTGGGGCGTTTCACAACGTCCCTCGACGCGCTGAATGCACACAGAAATCTGCTCTTGATTTCATGAGGCATAATTAAATCTAGCACAATTTGAATAGTGAATTCAACACAGCTTCTCAGCTGACGATCGGCGCCTCGGCGCACCGTTTGAAATCCCCGTGAGCTGACTTCCGCCCTTTGCGGGCGCTTAGAGTGCTGGTCAGTAATTAGGTTTGAATATATTTCGCCGTGTGTGCGACATGGGGTGAATATTATATGGCTGCGGGGTCAACCAACACGACACATTCACCTTGATTTCCCCTGCGATGCAGCAGACACACTTTGACGCACTAATCACGCGTCAATTCGCACGTGCACAGCTAATGACTGGCCGCTGAAGGTATGCAAATACCTTCACGACGGTCAAGACTCGAGCATTCCACAAACTTTTTCTTCACTTTTCTAATTAAAAAATATTCCCGTTCGCGCACACACACACAAGTTGCCGCACTGGAAAATTCATGAGCGGAAAACTTCATGTGCACACTTTGTCCGAACACACTCGCCTCGAACATCGTCAAAATTCCCACATGAAAAGTGTCCGCCACACTTTTCACCACCCCTCGGCGCGCCGGGGGTGAAAAATATTTGAAACACAAAATTTCATTTCCATATAAATTGCCCCAGACACTTTTGAGTTGGGCGCATCGCAAAGACAAAGTTCCAGGTCATGTTTTGCAATAAAAGTGTAATTTCTGTTTTTTTTTCAATGCCTCGCACAGCGCGGCCAATCGATGCCGTGCAATTTGTTGTTGTTGCTGAAGAAGAAGAAGATCTACTTGGGATGGCGCTCGATGTACTTTGTCTGCGTGAGCGCCGAGCTGCCCTGCGTCGGATCCATCATGCGACTCCAGTCCGTCTGGCCCACCACGAAGCCAATGGCGCGCATCTTCTCCTGCGCCCGGCGCTCCTCAATGTCCGCCCAGCGCACCTGCAACGCAACACCACAGCGATCAGCGCCCTCTCTTATCTCTTGGCACACCTCAAGCCCCACAGACACACCATTCTTGCACTTCTCTACTGACTATGGACAGATTCTGTTGCTAAATCATAATTCTTTCGCTGTTAATACATCGAAAACTGAGGCAAAGTGAAATCATTCGTATTTCCGGATATTTTCTTCAATAGAAATACAGCAAATTGTGCATTTATTGCTGTCCAAATTGCATTTTTAATCACCAAACAGCTAAAATACTTGCCAAGAAACGTCAATTAAATCGATAAGAAGCAAATAAAAATCAAATTACAATCAAAACGTGTAAACACGTTCTAATCTAAAGATTAGATAATAAAAATGCGATAGAAAAACCTTCAAGAAACCAGATTACAACTAATAATTTGAAAATTGATCGAGAATTATTGTGATTCCGTGAATTTTTTCGCTTGAATAATTCAAGTTAAATTACAACTTTCTCAAGACATTCTTGCAACTTAATTGTTTAATATTGGTGAAGAAGACAATGTTTAAGGCAAATATTGCAATGTCTGAAAACATTTTGCAGATTTCAGTCGATATTTCTGACATCGAAGAATTTTGCACATCATCTGCTCTAGCCTAGAGTTCATAGAGTAGATAAATTCTCTATCAAATGTGCTTTTCGCTCTTCGACGAAAGAAAAACGATAATTTCATTGAAAAATTGATAAAACTCTTCATATTGACAATTGAAGAGAATTCTAAAAGCTCATCTCGCGATTTGGAGAAAATCAATCGGAAAAACTCACCCTCTTTTGGCCTGGTTTTGAGTCTTTATCAAACACCATCAGATCGTCCGCGTCCTGCAGGAAATCCTCCATCGTCGTGTGCCTCAGCGGTTTGCTCGTGCCATCCAGACGCGCTTCAGTGGCCGAAACAGCACAACACAACCAAGAACAAATGGTATTTGCATTAGTAATGAACGTGTTTATTGCAAATCAATTGCAAAACTAAGTGTGAATTTCTCTCTACAGCCCAGAAATCTCTTCCTCATCGTGACTTTCGATGCACAAAGAAGACACTTCCGGACCACAAAAAGAGGCTCAACTGCAGTTGGACGAGAGAGACTCATTTACACTCTACATTCAAAGTCCTCATCCATCTGAGTTGAGTCTCCGGGGAGAAAGAAATGTGATAAAGAATACCAACCTAGCTGTTCTTCTGTGCGATCCGAATCCCATTTACTCTTCAACAATCCAAACTATATTCGAAGAATTGATGATTTACCAATGGTTAATTAGTTTCTCATCTTCTGCTGTTTAATGCAAATTTTCTCTGTGTTTCTTTTCTTTGAAAAGCTGTTTTTTTTCTTCTTGTTCTTCAACCAAATTTCCACCCATCAAAAAATGATGAACAGCAAAAGACACTCGCAATATTTTTCGACCCACTTTCGAGAGCTCTTTTTTCCTTTTTCTTTCTTTCTTGCGTGGGCAAATTTTATGAGAATCATTAAATTTTCCCCGCTATTATTGATTGATGACAGTGAAAAAGAGCTAAAGACAAAATTTAACGATTCTGTGACTGTTTTCTCAAGATAACGCGCACTTTTTTCTCTTTTTTTCATTGACTTCAAGAGAGACAAATTTTCACGGCCCTAAAAAGACTCTTTTTTTTGTCATTAATATTTGACTTAAATTGAAACTTGAAACTTTGAGGGTTTAAGAGACAAATTTTCTTTTAGTTTGCGCAATGTTTGGAGTAAATTCATTTTTCAACTGGCACTTTTCCTGTAAACTGTCATTAAAAAAGGGATGTTTTTCATCATTTATCTCACCTCTGATGCCTCATCAATTGTGTCATTTTCATCCTTTTCAGTCTCTTCTTCCTCCTCATCTTCATCTTCATTCTGAAAAGGTTTCCACCAACGGTGAATGGGAGGAAATTCATCTTTCACATCACAAGAGAAATCATATTTACCCATTCTGAACTCACGGAAAATTGCTCTTCTGTCACTTGTTCAGTCTGCATTCGTCGCTCTTCAGCCTCCTGATGAAGAACCTCCAGTGATTTCTGACTGATTCTCACCACATCCGCCGGCAGCGAAGGCCATTTGTCCAGAATCTCCTCAATCTCCGCCCTCTTCCTGCCATGAGTATTCCTCTGGAAACACGTCTCCGCGTCCAAGATCATCTCGCAAGTGAAAACCTGCCAAAAAAAAGCCCACCTTTAGTCCTGCCAAAGACACAAAATTCCCCCTCAACTCACCGTGAATCCATTGACTTTCCCAAAATTGACAAAATCCTGATACTTCCCAAGATCCTTATTGACACAATCGACAATGATGAAGTCAAAATAGCCATCTGTTATCGTCTTGCGATAGGATTTAAGCAAATACTGCATATATTGCTCCTCAACACCCTCTTCGAAGGTGTAAATCAGCTTCTTCACCTCAATTGGCTTATTTGTCTCCGGACACAACATCTTTTCATCCACTTCAGTCATGTAATAATCATCAATACTGAGAATTCTCGGCGCTGAACCACCAAATTCCACTTCTCTGTCCTTAATCAGCTTGGCAAAGTACGTCTTGCCACTGCCCGGCGGTCCTCGGAAGATAACACAGATCCTCTTCGGTCGCACTTTTCGATGTGGCTGTTCTAGAATCTCCTTAATTGCCACCACAAATGGCGTCTTCTCCTCAACAGGCAATTTCTCCTCTTTTGCCGCACTTTCTTTCGCCTTTCTCTTCAATTCTTGCTCCCTCAGGAATTGCTCAGCATCCGGAAAATCAAATTCTCCCGCATCCGGAAGCGATGCATCACTCATTTCATCCTCTTGCTTCACTTCTTGCACTCCTTGCACTCCTTGCACTTCATCAACATCTGGCAGAGATTCGTCATCCCTTAAAACGATAAATTGCATGATTTTTCATCCACAAAAACTTACCAAAATATTCACTCACAAGTCAATAATTTCCATTTCATCTTTCTGCATCTCCAACTCATCGTCATCTTCATCATCCGAAATGCCCTCATAAGCATTCTCCAGCTTATTCATTTCCGCCGCTTTCTTCGCCAACTCTCGTCGCTGCTCTTTCGGCAACTGTTTCTTACCGCTGCGCGTCTTCCGGGCGCCTCTCTTGGTGGGAAAGTCCGGGAAAGGTTGTCTCTCACCAATGAGTGTCCATTTGCCAGGATATTCAGCGGTGCTGCTGAAAATCTCTGTCAATTTCTCCACTCGCTGCTTTCGCCTCTTCTTGGCCGCTTCAATAATCGTTTCTCTCTGGATCTTCTTGAGATCCTTCTTCGATCTGTGGAACTTTGCCACCTCCGGTTTGCCCTTCTTCCCCTTGTTATCCTTCGACGCGTGTCCATAGTCGATTGTCGTCATGTTGAGCACAAAATCCTCCCTTCGATTGCCCAGCGAAGGCGTCGAATCGCTCGTCTTCTTGTGTCCATAATCCACAACTTTCGCCGGAATTAGGATGTCATCGAAGGCCTTCCGGCTGTTCAGCGGCTCCTGGACAGATTCTCTGGGCATATTTGTGTAGTCAATCACCTGCGCCGGCCGGAAGTCAGTGGAATCGTCGATGTTGTGATTGGAGAAGGAACTGTGCGAGTTATCAAAGTCATTCATGCGATCAGCATAATCGTAGCGTCGATCTCGCCAATTTCCACCCGAATGTTGACTCAAATTCTCCTCCTCCGGCCGATTCATGCCGCGATCGAAGTCCTGAAACCTTCGTCCTTGCGCATAATCATCAAACATCCTTCCACGATCGCCAAAGCGATCATTCATGCCATATTGATCGGCAAATCTGCGATCATTCTGGCCGAAATTACCTCGAAATCCAGCATCATTCTGTCTGAAATTGTCTCTAAATCGACCCTCGTTCTGCCCATGGAAATTGTCCTGATATCCTCGATCGCGATCATCATTAAATCGCCGCCCAAAGTCCCTTTGACCCTGGAAGCCACCAAATCTCTCCGCCTCCCTTTCAGCCCAAGGATCTTCACTGTCATTCCACTGTTCGACATTCTCCTGATGCCTCGCATTGTTATTATCACACTGATTGGGCGAATCTTGCGGCGCATTTTCCTTGCCACTTCCCTTCACCATCGACAGAATGTTCATCAAGTTCGACGTCTGAAGCAGTGACGTGATATTCTTGGAGATCTCAGCCAAATCCGCTCCTCTATTCGCCACAGCGTCCACTTTCTCATCACTTTCCGGCACATTTTTCGCCTCTTCCGACAAGAAATCCAATCCAGGAATTGACTTTGACGTGGAGGAATTGAAGAGATTCTGCAAATTCTCATCCCTCTGCGGCTCTTCCTTCCTCACATCCTGCATCTCATCAGCTTCCTGAGACTCTGTCGATTCCTGTGGCTTCTCAGCTTCCTGCTGCTGATCCGCCTTCAGCACCTCTTGATCCTTCGTCTTCTCCATCTTTTCCATCTTCTCCTTCGCCTTGCGACGCCTCATCTGCTCTCGACGCTCCAGCAAATTATTCCTGCACTCCTCGAATTTCATTTCATACTCTCTGTACGCTCGGCGATCCGGATGATTGACATTCTGCTGCTTCCAGTTGAAGAACTGCTCTTCCCACTTCTTGAACTGCTCATCGAAGCGCAATTCGTCCTCGTCCACCACCTGAGAACCACTGGCGACTGCCTTCGCTGGTTCCTTAGCTTCTGGCTCCTTCTGCGGACTCTTGTCAGCAGACTCGGGCAATTGAGACGATCCTTGAGGGCAATCATCGAAGTTATCCTCGTAAAACTTATCATCGCTGCTCTTTTGTTGCGCATTCGCCACGTTTAACTGATCTTCATAGTATTCCTCCTCGTAATCTTCCTCCTGCTCGTAGTCATCGTATCCTTGGTCGCTCCAGGATTGTTTCTTCTGCTGCTGATTGCCCTGATTACTCCAAGACTGTCTGTTTTGCTGCTGACTCCCTTGATTGCTCCAATTCTGCCTGTTTTGCTGCCACGAATCGCGCTGATTCCGCTGCTGATTCTGTCCGAAATTCTGCTGACGCTGATTGAACTGCCCAAAGTTCTGCTGATTCTGCTGGAAGTTGTCCATCAGACCAGGCGGACCTCTTGGATTCCGCTGATTCGTCGCAAATTGATTCTGTGGATTCTGCTGATTTCTTCCCTGCTTGAATTGATTCTGCTGATTCTTCGCTTGACCAAATTGACTCTGTTGTTGCTTGTTATTCTTCTGACCAAATTGATTTTGCTGATTCTTCCCTTGTGCAAATTGATTCTTTCCCTGGCCAAACTGATTCTGTTGATTCCTTCCCTGGTTGAATTGATTCTGCTGATTGGGATTCCTCTGGTTCGGATTGTTTCTCCCTCCTGGCGCCTGATTCTGCCTCTGATTCTTCGCATTCCACTGCTGTCGTGGCCCTTTCAGCCAATCCTGCTGCACATTTTGACTGAATTGCCCACCGAATGATTGTCCCATGAGCGGCTGCGGGCCATGCGGCTGCTTGTGCTCCATCGGCGGCGGCGGGGGAGGCGGCTCAGCCTCTGGCGGCGGTGGTGGAGGCGGAGGCTGTGCCATTCCCATCGGAACCTGCGGAATGGAAGCCGCCTGAACCTGATACATCGCCAGAGATGGCGTCTGGTAAGCCACAGTCTGTTGATAGCCCGCATAAGCGCTCTGGCTCGCCTGCATCTGTGCCATCATGACTTGCTGCTGAGTCTGTTGCACTTGCTGCACCTGTTTGTACGGATGATATCTCAATTGCTGCGCCGGTTGTGTCTGCGCCGGCTTCTGCTTCTGCATCTCCTTCTCGTACTGCAAAGAAGACAGGGAAAACAGTGAGAAGAAGCCTTTTAATCAATTCCAGCTGACTTAGAGAGAGAATCATCAATTCTTTGCTCTGAATTTGACCAATTATTTGCCCCTTGAAGTTCAGACTGTCACTGATCGCGAGAAGTCAAAAATGCTGAAATCACAGCTTCTTCTCTCATTTCCCAATGATTTCTCCCAGCTATCGCCCTCCAGACGATCTGATAATCATCCCTGGGGCGCTTTTGCGGCCGGGAACTTACTTGCTCCCCATATTGAGCGTGCCACTGAGCGTATTGCTCCTGATACGCTTGCCACTGTTGCCAATTCTGCTGGATCTGCATCTTCTGGTCCGGCGTCATGGCATTGTACATTGCCTCGTTGATGTTCTGCACAGCGGCAAACTGTGCCTGCCACGCCGGATTCCACGCAGCCATCGCAAAGTGCCGGAAAGTTCGCGGAAAAGGGCTGCAAAGACAAACATGGCAACCGTGTGTGAATGATTGTGTTATCAAGTGAAATTCATGCAAAGTACGCGTATAATTGACTGAATAACACAGAAAATTGCTCACCAGACTTCTTCCTAGTGGATTTAGTGTGTTTTTAATTCTGTTTTGGAATTTTTAAGGGTGCTTTCACCCACTTTTCCTCCAGTAAACATCCAAAGAATTTTTCACCTCTCTCTCTTTGACAGCGATGGTTTTGCGCAAAATCCGCGCGGTGGTGCAACAATCGGCATCACGAGCGCCGTCAGTCGGGAAAAAAGTGCGTGTGGCTTGGAAAAAAATGCTGTGAACATCTTTGTTAATCGCTATTTTGCTACAGAAACCTGTGAAAAATTGTTAAAATCGCCTTTATACCGTCGATAGAGTGGCCGTGGATGTTTGTTGATTGTGAAAATGCAGTTTCTCGTCAATTATACATAGGAAAACGGTGCAAGAGACATCCTTGAGTGACATAACCTAACATATGGTGGTGAAGAAACTTTCCCAAATACCAAAATATGCTAATTCCCCCAAAAAGAGGTGTTTCTGCGCGATAAACAGCACCGTGTGGGATTGCGGGGTGGAGGTGTTGAGTGATAATTGAGAGTGGTGAGAATGGCAGCATCAGCTGGAAGCTCTGGACATGTGGAGTCTGGAATCCTCCGGAAGCGCTCAAAGTTCAGCCCTGAGAATCAGGAGGAGCTCCTCGTGTTCGGATATCAGTGTCACCTGTTCCGGGACGACGAGAAAGCCCAATTCATAGACCAAGGAAAGCACCTAATTCCCTGGATGAACGATAATTCTATAAAGATAGACAGGTTAATAATGTTTATTTCTTGCCACTCTTCTAAAAAACAACAAAAAAATAGCTAAGGAAAAAACTGATGATTTTTCATAAAACGATAACTTTCTCCAAAAAAAAAAAATGACAAAAAAAGAAAATGTTTGAGAATTTGATCATGCAAAAAGAAAAGAAAAGAAAAATAGATCAAGAAATTTGTAGCAGATCAGCAACGGTTGTTTGATTAAAATGTCCCACGGATCCGGGAAAGTCGCCTTCATCAACACACAGTGGATTTTTTGCCATTCCCGAAGCTTGTGTTGTGTTATTGATAAACCCTCGCAGGTGTGGTATGTATGTTAATTGTAAATAAATAACACCCAAAAACAATGTCCAAAACAAAAATACAACAAAGATTTCATACCAAAAAATATATATATATAAAATACCATGAGAAATTTTTCATTTGAAAATATTGCAAAGACGTGATGATGATGGAAAATCTGTGAAATGGGCAAATTTTTCGCATTAATTCGACAGACACACATTTCCCTATCTCACACATTCACAAAAGAAAATCACACGCTGGACAAAAGCTGTTCTGGACGCCAAAAAAAAGGAGCCAAAATTGCCCCAACCACGATTGATTGTCTCTTTGCAGGAAGTGCGCGCGCCTGAAGATTGCCACAAAAGCCAGCTTTTTGACTATTTTGCTCTTTCTCTCTCTGATGATTTGCCCTTACTTTTGCCCTCAAAATGACCCTCAATTCATGTCTTCTCAATGGCGCGAACAGCATTCTAACGTCTCTCTTGCATCAGGTACGATGTGCGCGCGACGCTCAATGATTTGAAAGTGTACGAGGCGCCGCCCGGAGGATACACGAATCGCCTGGATTACCTGTCGCCGGCGGAGCAGCGCGCCGAGCAGCTGTGCGAGGAAGAGCGCTACTTCAGTCTCTATCACAACGAACGCGAGGAGGACTTCAATCAGGGTGAGAAAACCATCGCTGTCCTTGAAGTTTGGCCGTTTTCTGGGCCATTGACACTGTCAACCCTCTCAAGACGTGGGAAAATCGCACAAAAGAGTCGCTCAGAGTGATTTTATGGACAGTTTCTACATTCTTTCTGTCCTTTAACAACCCATAACGATTGATTGAAGTCTGAAATGTTCAACTTTCGTCATATTTTATTCACTTAAATGACGAAATCTTTATTAACTCTGGATTTATTCACTAAAACTTACCATTTTGCGACTTTCTAAAGCTTTTTGACCATGACTTGAAGCCTAAGAATGGAAATTCTAACCTTTTTACTTACAATTTACCACATTTTCCCACGAAAAAATTAATAATTTCATTAATTGTTGTATTATTTATCAAAATTCTAATAAATTTATTAGAGTTTCTGTGTGGAAAATCTCTTGGAAGATCAAAATTCTTACACTGAAAGACGATATGAGAGTTTTTTTTATGACTTAAAGAATCTAAAACGTCTCTGGGACATGATGAGGGTTAACAAAACCACCAGTTGATAAATCTTTCTCATTTAGCACTTCCCTTTTACCAGCAAAAAGCCATCAAAACTTAGAGCTCAGGAAGCTGAATTGCGATTAGTTTTTGTATCCAACACTAGATAAATGTTTATAATGTTTCTCCAGAATCCCAGAGATTAAGTTTGTTTTGCATTTGGTGTTTTTTTTTCTTGCAGAAGAGGAACTGAAGCGACTTCAATCGTCTTCCTATGCACAAGTTGGCTTCAACTACGACGCTCCGGCGGCGGCGGCGGGACCGGAGAAGCAGTCCAGCGTTGAGGAGGAGGAAGTGGACGAAGTGGCTTTCGAGCCATCGCCCAATTTTCCCATTCCGACGGACATTGAATTGGTGAGGCTGTTTTTTTTTGGTTTTATCACACTCTTCTTATCGTGAATTGAGTTTTTTCTTCTTCTGTGGACACGCTTTTTCTTTACAGCCGCCAACGGTGAAGTTGAATGCGATAATTGAGAAGACGGCGCGCTTTATTGCGGCTCAGGGAATGCAGATGGAGATTCTCATAAAGACGAAACAGGCGAATAATCCGCACTTTGACTTCCTCACGCAGAATGGGAGATTCAATTGCTACTACAAATTCGTCCTGGCGGCAATCAAGGACAATCGCTATCCGAGTGCGGAGGCGGATGTGAAGGCGTCCGAAGTGGCGCCGGCGGTGAGGAGCGACGAGGTGCCAAATGAGGGACTTCCGGCGGTGCAAATGGTGCAGAAGAAGAGCCTTCCGGTGCTGAAGTACAAACCATCGGCCGATTGTGCTTACACGCAGTTGATCAGCAAGATCACCGGCGCGCCGCTGCCTGTGCAGATGACTGAGGAGGCGCCGGAGGTGCAGCACGAAGAGGCGGCGGCGGAACCGAGTCCGGCGGCGAATGGAGCGACGCCACAGCTGCCGGACAATGAGCGCGTGGAGTTCAGGCGGAAGGCGGAGAGCGTGGAAGTGCGGAAGATCTCAACGGGACTGATGCTGGCGCAGTGTTACAACTCAGAGTCGGAGAGCGACGAGGACAGCAACAGTCGCAATAGTTTGTTCAAGCTTGATCTGCCCGTGCCGCCGGACGGACTGCAGCATATCATAGATAAGACGGCGGCGTATGTGGCGAAGAATGGGAAGGATTTTGAGGATATTCTGCGAACGAAGCAGGATCCGCGCTTCTCCTTTCTCGACGAATCGTCAGAATATCATCGGTATTACATCTACAAAGTCACCGGATCGATTTATCTGCCCGCCGGCAAGAGTGACAATCAGCAGCCGGAGAAGGTGAAGAAGGAGGATGTGCAGCCGAAGATTGTGACGCCGGTGTGTTTCTCTATCAAGACCAAGGACGATCCGCCGGTGCCCATGAAGCCGGCGCTGCCACAAGAGCCGAGCAGCGATGAAGAGGGCGCAGAGAAGAATGGTGTGACGCCAGAAGCCACAACGACACCGACAGCAGCGGTGGAGGAGAAACCGGAGCCGGAGGAGGAGAGCAGAGATCTGGGCATCAATGTGGAGGAGATTCTGGAGATGGAGGAGAAGAAGGAGGCCAAGAGGGCGGAAGAGAAGGTGCGTGACAAACTCGCGGCGGCGGCACGTGAGAAGCTGGGATTGATTTCCAAGGAGAAGCAACTTCAATTGGAGCGGAAGAAGAAAGCAATGGCTTTTCTCACACAGATCAAAAGTGAGTTTTATTCACCACTTGTTAACCCTTCACGCTGAACAGAGAATTGAGTTCATTAACACAATTTTCACCCATTTTCAATGCATTCATTGATGGTTGAAGGTTAAATTCATCAAAATCAGTGAAATATTTGAGTATATTGACAAGTTTAGTGGATTTCTAACCTTCCAAAGAATACATTAAGTTAAAATTTATTGAAATTCGTGCTTTTTTGAGTTATTTTTCTGTGATTCAGACAAATTATCTGTAAGAATGAGTGCAAAATTGTCTGCAATTCCTGGAAAATTCATGCCTTTCCTTCTTCATTCCACCAATGTTGCAATCTGCAATCTTTGCAATGCGTTTTTCTACTAAATACTGCAATTTTGGTGCGATGAGAATCTGAAAAGTGGGAGAAAACCCAAATGAATGTGTTTTTATGGGTTTTTCTCATTGATGGGCGGGGCAATTAAGTGGGCGGAGCCTCAGAAGAGTTAATTCTGTTGCATTTTTCACTGTAATCTGAGTGCAATTGGTGAAATTCTATTCTTAAAGCACAACACGTCGAAGAGTTGACTCGCAATCTTGACTAACAAACTCAATTCGCTGGACCTTGGATGCTTTTGCGCGATAGTGCGCAGAAAAATAGGTCTGATGTCAGAGCACTGATGGCGTGATGTTTTGTGTGTGTTTTGCTTTGCAGGTTCAGGACTCGTGAAGGCGGCGGCGGCGGCAAATGCCACAGTGGCGGCGTCAGGAAGTGTGGCGCCACAGCCGGTCGTTGGCAATGGGCAGAACAATTCGGATTCTGATGTGTCTGTGCACTCGCTGCCGTCGATTGTGGTGCCGGATGTGGTGGAGGAGAGTCGCAGTCGATCGAGGAGTGGAAAACGACGCACAAGATCAAGATCAAGGTTAGTTGTGGATGTTCTCTGACTGACGGCGTTGATTAATGTGATGAATGCACGTGATTTGCAGGAGCAGATCGTCATCGTCTGTGTCCAGAGCGAAGCGGAAGAAGAAGAAGGCCAAGCATGAGCATGCGAAGAAGAAGAAGAGGAAGTCGCGCAGTCCGGAGCGGAAGCACAAGAAGAAGTCCTCCAGGAGGCGCAGCGAGGAGCGCCACAGATAATTCCTCGTGCTCTTGATAATAAAAAAAAAAAGAAAAACATGTACATAAAACACAGAGAGAGAGATTGAGTGTGTGGAGTTCTGCAATCGCACTCTCCGGCCGCTGATTGTGGCCGGGCGAGAAACGTGATGCCACCGGGTCAGTGGCGATAGCGAAAGCGTCGAGCGGAGTATTTAATTTGATAGTGAATGGCACAGAGAGTCAGTTTTAGTGTGACTCTTGGGCAGAGAGTGTTTAATTTGGTGAACTACAAATTGTGAAGAGTTATGAAGGTTCTTGTTGAGGTGAGAAAAATGAGTGCAAATTGTGGATTTGCACATTTTCTCAGTTTGTGACTCTTCTTGCAGTCGCCGTTGATTCTAGATCCATCGGAACTGCTCAGGCCGGAGCCTGAGTTCCTGGACAAGAGTGCGTCCAAGTTCCGCGATTACACTGTGGACACGACGGATCCGCTGAAGGAGCGCGTGAGGCTGACCTATCGCAAGATGCATCTCAATCAGACGGTGGATTTCGTGAGAGGTAACGACGCAGATTCCGTTCTGTTTACACGCCCTGAGATAATCCCTGGGGCGCGGCGACAGAGGTCAGGCGAGCGATAGTGTGTGTGGCTTTTTCGGATGAATTGCAAAACATTTTCCAGGGCGTCACGCCGAGTGGCTCACTTTCTCCAAGTTCCGCGCCACCATCCGGGAGGCGCTGGAGCGCCTCAATGACCTGGTGGACGAGTCGGATCCCGATCTGGACTTGCCCAACATCGTGCACGCCTTCCAGACGGCCGAGCGAGCGCGCGAGGAGCACCCGGACCTCGACTGGCTGCATCTCACGGGCCTCATTCACGATCTGGGCAAGGTCATGGCGTTCTACGGGGAGCCACAGTGGGCGGTGGTGGGCGACACCTTTCCCGTGGGCTGTCTCTGGTCAGACCACATCGTCTATCGCAGCGACAGCTTCGACGGCAATCCAGACGGCGAGAATCCCGCCTTCAAGTAAACACCCGAAAACCCACTTTTGGCGCGCAATCTCACGCCTTCTGGCCTCTTTTGCAGCACCAAGTGCGGCATGTACGAGCCGAACTGCGGGCTGCGCAATCTAATGATGTCATGGGGACACGACGAGTACATGTATCGCGTGCTGAAGCACAACAGATCCGCACTTCCGGAGCAGGCGCTCTACATCATCCGCTATCACTCCTTCTATCCGTGGCACTCATCGGGCGACTATCAGCACTTGATGCGCCCGGAGGACGAGGAGATCAAGAAGTGGGTGCTGAGCTTCAAGTGAGTGGCGAAAGATGAGCCTTTCGGGTGCGGATTTCTAATGCTTTTCCTCTCGCAGTCGCTACGATTTGTACACGAAGAGCACCAAAGTGCCGGACATCGAGGCTCTGTGGCCGTATTATCAGTCGCTGATCGACAAATACTGTACAGGCGAGCTGGAATGGTAAATATGATGATAACTCGGGGTTTTGCTTATGTATAAAATACTCTTTTTAATAAATAAATATTAATATCTATTGATCACAGAAGTGACCGTTACTGAGATTTTTAAATCCCCACAAAAACACCCTGTTGAGCAGTGTGAAGTTTGCTGCATTGATTCCCGTAGAGAATATTCGCATGAAACGAATTAATCGGAAATGTCCTATGAGAAGTCATTTATCATGTTTTCTCAGCAAAATTATATGCAAATTAGTGGCTTGAAGATTTTTTTTAATTCGGATAATTTTAATAACTTAAAAAAATTGACTGCATAAGCAATATACGAATATAACAAAAAGTCTTTAATTGATCTCAAGAATATTTTAATAAATCTAATTTATGTGTTCTTCCTTCCCTTACACTGTGCAACACTTTTCTGCCCTTTTTTGAAGTGTGAATTTTCTGATTCCTTGAGTCATCAGCTTTTCAACGGTACCTTCCTTTTTTCTCTAGACCCTCAAGTTTTCCTTTTAGAGCCTATTTTCCATTTTCCCCTATTTTCACCCACTTTGCCGCACTTATGTGCTCATATCTCGCCCAATTTTCCACGAATTTTCCTCAAATTAGGCTCAAATGATAGCTATTGAAATTACTTACAACTTTGTAAAACATTGTGAGTGTTTTAGATTACTCCTTGTTGGTCAAAAATGATCTTTTGTGAACCACTAGGTAAAAAATTCACCGTGTTTTTTACCACTTTTTTCTAAATATCTCTGAAACGAAGAAACTTTTATGTTGGATTATTTTTCCTATGTGTAGAGCACTTCAGGGGATGCATTTCCCCCATACATGCCGAAGTGATATTTCTTCTCTATCTGCCGGAAAAACGAGGTTTTTCCTCGACAAGTTTTGCTTTTTTATGCTACGCGCACCCGCTAAAAAATTGAAAGAAGGTACATTTTGCTGTTTACGCACTCATTTAGATAATGATAATGCTTAGATGTTAAAACAAAAGAGAAAAAAGGCCAATATCTCGACTTTTTAGCTATTTTACGTGAATTTTTTGGTCTTAATGACAACAACTCCATCAATGTATTTCGATACAATTCTATGTGAAATTGCAGCAGAAATAATCTCTTTTCCATAACACGATAAGCTGATGAAAAGCCAATGGTTAATTCGTTAATTCAAAACATGTCCTCCGCGGAAGACTCGTCCATTGACGATCCGCACTGCGTCGGCGGACAAATGGCTACGGGGCGTCAACTGATCGACGGCGAAAAGCAGTTGATGGTTTGTGAGTTCATTCGAGTTTCGTCGTCCGTGGAGTTGAGACGCGTGTGTGCATTGAAGCGCCCTTATTGCCAGACCCAGAGGAGCCCCACTTCCCCCGCTCGGCCCCAATGGAATAACCCGGCCGTTGCTGGACAACACACAGTGAGTGTCTGCAGAGCGTCGTGACACAACCATGAAGAAGTGTGCTTGGTGAAGAGCCATCGAGAGACATTCTTCAGCTGTGCGCGCCCCCGTTTTGCAAGTGTGTGGCCCCCAGAAGTGTCACGTGATTCCCCCCCAAAAGAATCGCAGGCCGAGCAGTTGCTGGCGAGTCAAGTGGTTCCTGTGCTGAGATTAGACTTCCCGGAGGCGAAGATTGACATGTGAGTCTCTGTTTTTTGATCCCACCTGGGAAATTATACAATTCCGGGCATCAATCTGAGTGCTGCTGATTAGCATATTGCGCAAGTGTGACTCCGCAAAGTGCCCCGGATTGTCACTGATAGGAAGAAGCGCGCGCGCGCGCGCGCGATCTGCGATGGTCAGGAGAGTGTCCGGCAAAAGTGGGGCTCAGTTGGACGCCCGCGGCTATAGAGCGCTGCACAGTTAGCTCGGCTCCCCACCTGCATCTCCGGCGCCCCTTCCGGATGCTGGTGGGGGCCCAGATGGCCCCTCGGCGACGCGAGTGCGCCAAACTGCCCGCAGGCAGACAAATTGCAGCCGATCGTGTCTCTCCAATCACGCCAATTGCGCGGCCCCCAAAACACACTCCCGGACGAGTCACGAGCCAATCTATCCGATGGATCTTCCTCCAGTCAGTATCAGAGGCCCAGAAATGTGCCAATCAGCAGAAATGCCGCCACTCAATAGCGATAAGGGACAAAACAACACGTCCATTATTGCCAGGCTGTTTTTCTGCGCCCCCGCAATCTTATCACACACTGTCTCACTTGTCCTTCGAAGACTCGCGCGCACTTTGGCATGCAAAAGGGCGACTCTCGGTTTCATTTTAAAACTCCTCAAATAGCACACAATGTTTATGTGCACGAGATGCCCAGCGAGACAGAGAGAGAGAGAGAGAGATTTGTGAGGAGCAAAAGCCAGCAAAACCTCGTTCTCTTCACGGAATTCTTTCACCTGTGCTCAGCCAGACTTGATTTATTTCATCGCGTCTTATGCTGGTCGCCTCAACAATTCCTCATCTCTTGCGCTCTCGAGTTCCGGGCGAAGCCTTTCGCTTGGCTTATCGACTGATTTTCTCTGGCGCGGAAAAACTCGTGCGAAATATCTTCGCCATAAGACAGTTCAGGCAAAATGGAACTCGCGATAGTGCAAACAATGAGTTTGATAAGCAAATTGCTTTATGCCGTAGAAGAACTTCTTATCGTGTTCGCTTGAATTAGGTTTCTTGCGCGATATCATCAACGGACGGGTTGAATAACGTCAGAATCATTTGACTCTCGCCATGCGAAATTGGGTGATTTTGATGATTTCAAGACATCGTCAGCTGCTTCGCCCTTCTTCATAACTGCATTTCTAATGTTTGGGGTGTTTTTCTTGCGACAAGATGCTTCTGGAAAGACAGCAAAACATTTCATTCAAGTTCTGTTGGTGAAATAATCAATTTTAAGGGAGATTATCGATACAAATTGCTTGCAATTTCCTTTTTATAACACAATTTCAGAAGAAAAATAGGGCTGATAGGGAAAATCAGCCTTTAAACTGACGATTTGATGTATTTTTCACCTAAAATTGTGTTAAAAAAGGAAATTGAAAGCAATCGTGTCGATAAGTGTCGGCACTTGGAAGAACTTATCGACATTTCAACCTGGAAAATGTTCTTAATGCGTTATTTTGGCTATTATTTCTGCGGGTTTGATTAAAAAATCGCTGAATCCTGAAAAAAAACCTTTTTAAAATTATTATCACTCAAAGATTGGTGTAAATTTCCGAAAATAGAACATTTTTTTACACGCGAACACTTGAAAAGTCTTTCAATTCTGCCCTCGAACGCGCGTGTGTCCAAATGAAAGGTCGTTTTGTTATTGTTCTGGACTTAAAATATGTTTTCATCTTGTGATTAAAGTCTGTTAGGAGATCTAAAACGTCAAAAGATGCGATAACAGTTGATGCACATCACGATAGACGGTTGAGATTTATGTGTTAAACAGCAAAACAGCGTCCAAAATTGCCTCGCTGTTCGCTATTGTGTTTCTGTCCCAGAAAATCACAAATTACTGATCTACACATTCACATTGACGAATTTTCTGCCACTTTTTATCTGCACTTGTGCGATCATGCATTGAAAATTGTCTCTGACTCTCTCGAAAGAACCACGGGAAGTTTCTCAAGGAAAAATATTATTAAATCTCTGCGCAAGCAAGTAAGAAAAAAACAGTCTTCAAACCGCACAAATCACGATGCAAAATTATTATAAACTCTTTGCGAAGGAAAGCCAAAGAGAGCGAGAGAGAGAGAGAATTGAGAAAAAGGAAGACTAAATATCACAAGATTACGATTAGAAAGTTATTATGTGTCAATTTGCTGATTTTTTTCTCTCCTTCTTCTTTTTAATATTGGCTTTTGACTCACGGCAATCTGAAGAGTGTGTATTTTTGCAACATGGCATCATCCATTTGGCATTGATTAATAAAATATTCTCAATAATAATTCCAACGCAGCGTGATTTGAATATCCGAAGATAAAATTGCCTGATGGACTGCAAAATGAAACGTGCACAACCTCAATAATAGTAATAAAATGTATAACGAAAAATTTACCATGTGAGAAAAGGAAGAAACACACAGTTTTTCCTGACCTTCCAAAAATGCGATGCGCGATTGTGTTGTTTTGTCCAATTTACACTCATTCGATAATGATGTAAATGTGCCAAAAAATAAATATATATTGAAAGAAATGCGGAAAACAAGAAATTCCAGTTCGATTCAAATATCAAAATATCACGACTGTTGAAGAATATAACATGGAAGATTTGTTGGTTTGCCAAGAGAGAGAGAGAGATTTTGCCACAGTCAAATTCATTCGAATGAACGCGTTTTGTCACCATTTTTCCAGTCAATCAAGCTCAAATCTTGAGATTTGTCATGACAAGAACTTGTGTTGCTTCTCACGCTACAATTCAGTCCTTCACAGAGCTTTTATAGAGCAACCCAAAAATGCCTCTCCTTGAGTTTTTCAGTTTTTTCCAGCGGATGAGCGTTTTATTTACTTTATATTATTCTCCACTTGTGTAAAACTTCACCTGAAACACTGCGTCGCTATTAATGGCAATTAGTAATCGTAAGTTAATTGAATGCTGATCGAATGCGTAGGTTTAGCCGTAGTGAAAAAAAAATTCTCATAATTACCACTCTCACTCCACGGTGAATTTTGTAATTAATCAGAATATATATCCACGAAGAAGTGGAGAGAAGAAAAAAGAGACGAAGAGGTGAAGAAAAAAAAAACATTTTCTTTTCAAATTGATATATTATACAAATGAATGAATTGAGGACACTTTGTAAAGCTTGTGTGTGATGTTCAAAATAAAATATCGTGGGTAATATTCTTCTAATTTCTCTCCTTCTCTCACAACACTTGTTGGCTGCTCTTTTGGATTGCGTATTTTCTCAGGGCATCACGGCGAAAACATATACGAGGGATAATTATGGTTGTTGGATTGAGTTGGAAGACTCTCTGCAGGGTTTTGCTTGAAGAATTTATTCCGTTTTATAGTTAAATACCGATAAATATGATTAATCAGTTCATTAAATGTCGGTCAAACGGTGACGTTCACCCAGTGGCAAATTACAACTCATTTGCTCTTTTCAGC